AWWWTTWAWRRWAAKKAYMKAAAAKKAKKAAKRTWWTRCSWMMTMYYMTWAAAWTTTRKAWGCATTTTCTGTGTTTGGTTGAATATAAACCACCTAAAATTTTTCTGCAGTCATTGTTGTTGGACTCCTCTTCAGTTGTGGTGAAAATAATGCAAAAATCTAAAATATTGATTGGGAAATAGGGCACTGATGGATATTTTATATACACATCATGGGCGGATAGAGGGGGGGGGGATGAATTTGGTGACTAGTCACCCACCTTTTTTAGATTTTGCAAACTTAGGAAATAGTAAATTATCTAAAAATATTTCGATAAACAAATCTTTCAAATGTAAGAACATTTTTRAACGTCTTAGGCGCCCGTAAGAGCCTGGGACATTCAGASACTGGGRTCGTTTCGAATAGACCGAAAGTGAATTTATTCGGCTTAGACGGTAAAATTTCRCGCCTGATGAGAAACGTTTGCTCTTGGTAATGTATCTCTTAATTWTGTGAAAAACGTTATTAAATTACCTACTTCCAAATGTTAGCTCACCCTCTAAAAAATATCCTAAATCCGCCACTTATACACATCTCTACAAACACTGCCAATACATTATCCTCACGGTTTTTTAAATCGACTGTAATTCTCTACTGTGTTATAGGTGGTTCATAATTATGGCCACGGTGGTGCTGGTTTGTCTGTTGGCTTTGGTTGRGCTGATGATTGTAGCCAACTTGTTCTTAATGTCTTGGCTGCCAAAAGGGTATCGAAGTTATAACGTGTTTTCGTGAATGGATTTTTATTAACAATGAACCAGAACGCAATCAAGATGAGTTATCCCATGTGGATTCGTCTTCATTGCGTTCTGCTTCATTGTTATACTGACAATTTGTCTCTAAATAGCCGCTATTTGTTAGTATTTAGTTTGATTTTATTTCATGATTTTCCTGCGTTTGCTCTAACTCACTTTTCTACTTCGAATGTATTTCTATGTAAATAAATCAATATGAAACGAGGCAAATAAACATTGTTTTTTATTAGTATTATTGAAACTACTTTCATTCCGCTGTCATGGCTATACTGCATGAAAGTACGATTTGTGTAAAATAAAACTTAAATCAACCGTGTGATAAATGTCATAACAATAAATGTCATTTATATTTAGCGACTGAGATGCACTAYTATCGGACAATTAGCGACCAATTATGTTTTTTCTTATGATTTTGAKACATTCATTCCAGTTTAGTGGGTGAGTTTATGTACTGTGTGAGTCCCTGTATTTTAAGCGCGTCMTTCTTGATKGAAAGGTACCATRAAACCTCCGCRCCAAGCCACCACTCAGTAGTAGAATCAGCGTCCATGGAACACTGAAAAAGGGAATCTATATMARCATCGATATAATAGCCAAAGTAGTTTGCATTMSGGTGCAAATTTGGTTTGTATAAGTTGCAYTTTTTAATCCAACTTAAATCGATGTGGATATGTTCACCGTTAGCATTACCATATGTAGGTGCGGTACATTCAAAACATTGGTTGCCTCTGATATTAATATACATGTATTTTATACACCTTCCAAAAGATTGTTCAGGAGATGTTATGTCTGCATCACTTATTCTTGCGAGTAGGAAATCAGGAACAAGAGAGGTTCTTGCTCTTTTGTCAAAATTACACGTAGATCTAAAGAGAGTGGACTTGGACCGAATGTGTTGTACTGCTTGCTTAGGTAGACGGTACCTTTRCCAACTTGGCGGAGAAAGGTGATTTATAGAAGCTGCACTATGAAATTGAAGACTAATAAACTCTTGTCTGTTTGCAAAAGACAATGATTCTATCAAAGTCCAAGCTCGCTTGTGACTGATATTAAACGCACAGTAAAGTGGCAAAACAGTTCCARTACTGATTAGAATGTCGTAAACACCATCTTTAGGAACGTTTCCATTTTTGACCGACTTTTGCTTAAAGACATCAGCACAAGAAGTGAGCTTGTTCTCGCATACTGTTCCCCAAGTCGACTTCACAGGACATTCGCAAGAAAATTTTAATTTTGGATCTTGACAGTGCTCTTTGCAAGTCCCGCCATTTTGACACGATTGGTATTTACAACATCCGTTGTAGCATTGACCGGGTTGTACCATATGAGAAGCAGCTGGCTCCTTGAAAATAATAGTATCATATTTAAGCTAAATCGCAACAGTTGTGATGAAATGATATATTTTTAAAAAGAGAGCTTYTTTGGACAGGTGTTCAGTTGTATTCAATGATAACAACGTATCCTAGAGAGGACCTTCTGAAACCATCGAATAATTATTAGAATGAATGATGGAAACTGCAGCTGCGTCGGTGTTAATTAATAAAGAAACACTTGTAAAATAAGATTAATTTTATACCGTAAAAAGTACTATTTCGTCAACTTTTACGGTGTAATATTTCTTTTTTTACAATTGTTGAATTAGAACCTGTTGGTTTAGGTTGTTTAAGCTATTTTTAGATATMTTCTTCTATTTGGAGTAGTTATGCACACAGCAAGTATTCTTCGTTTTTAATTAATCTTCAACAAAGGATTTCTCATTAGTACYATTGTTCATTCATCCAACATGGCCGCCGGTTTATCTTTTGAGACTCGTAGGAATGATTGAAAAATATCAATAATTTGAGCATTCTTACCCCATGGTATAGTGTTTGCCTGAGATCATAATAGACATATCCCTGCGCTGCTACTAAGGATTTGGAAAACCTGTGCTCGTCTAGTAATTCACAACTGTCATCTTTCATCTGACACGCCTTGCAGCGGCAATCCTGTACACAAGATGAGTAACACTTAGCTCGATCGTCAGTGGTGAAGTTCTTGTAGGAATGTCCGTTGATATATTTATCGTACACAATGTCTTGTGATTCAGGATATACTCGGCCGGAATAGCAGGTCCCTATACACTTTGCACTGCATGGAATACTGTAAAAGATAATTGAACTTACAGATATTCTGATGATCAGTGCTGAAGGATTCAGTTTAGGCATCTCCTGAAAAAAGATCGAATTCAATTGAGAATTTAGTCGAAATTAAACTTGCTTCATCAAGACTCGTATTTCTCGTATCGAGAACTTCTGCGGTATATGCTGTTAACTCTGTTGAGTGCCGAGTAAAATGAATTCATATACAATAGTTATATTTTGTTTATATGTAACTCAGTTTCAGTCGGTTTTTGATTGGTAATGTTTGATGATTTAGTTTGCAAGATTATCGCGCAAAAAGATGTCGAAATGACTGATTTTATTAGTCTCACAAATGGTCGCCGCGCTCATTAGCATAATTATTTTTCAGCCCGAATTAGATAATTATCGTCTTTACGAGAAGCATTTTCCACCGTCTATATGAGCATATCATCAAGATTAGCGGTCATTTTGTCTTCAGGACGAAAATGTTTTGCGACCATTTTGAAAAAAAATCTATTGCTTTCATACGAAAAGGAATCCTTAGTTCTTACTAGTAACAAATTAAACGCGGATCGACCATTACAAGGCTTTTGRCACTAGGATTTTAGAAAATTTTGTTCTAGTATACTAGAAATTAGATGGAGAAGTCTTAACTCGGCTTATGATAACTTCATTCATGTGCCGGAGCACAAATTGCGAAGTTCAAAATAATGAAGCAGAAACTATMCTATGCCCCGAAATACAAAGAAACTGGCTACCAATAACGAGAATACAATAGAGGAAAAAACTTACAAATCCTTTTCGACTAATTTRCACCTTGTCAAGCAATTCGMCTTGATGTCAYCTKCACTATCAATCGCTTTGTRAGCCAACAGTCTAAAATTTTAGCTGAATAATTAATAATGGKTTTCCCAATTTTAACAAATTGAAATGCCGATTGATTATGTTCTAGATATACATGTAATG